ACTCAGGTTTATTACGCTTCCGCCCAGCAAGCATTCAAGCAATGTTTACAATATCATGCAGATTAACGTTAAACCATTGTTTGCTGTTTCATCGCTATTTTTGTTAAAAGGGCAGTGCAGAGGCTTCTGAAAAGAGCAAATATTCCAAATGTATGGGCAATATTTTCCAATGCGCATCCAACTTGACGGGCCACAAAACTGAAAAAAGCAAATTCAGTAAAATTGCGAAGACAGTTTTATATTTAAAGAGGAGAATAATCGATTTTATGAATTCTTATCGAAAAAGATTTCATAGCAATGTAGGATAATACTCGTGTTCTGGTATCGTGGCCCGTCAAGTTCCTTAAATTTGGATGTGCACGCAACCTTGAGAAAACGGTCTACTCGATTTTTTGGAATAAAATAAAATAAATCTCGTTGCGAGCAGGGTTCGAACCTGCGCGGGAAAGTCCCATTGAATTTCAAGTCCAACGCCTTAACCACTCGGCCATCGCAACTATTTATATCATTGTCTTACATTAAGTCTTTAGAATCTTGCCAACATTAAAAATCTATATTTGATAGAGTTACTTGGCATTTTAATACAGCTCTTTTAAGAAAAAGGAGGTTTGGTGAAAGTTTTGTTGTATGTTGCATAAGGGCGATGTGGATGCAATCAGCGAAATGTCACAACGATATGGAATCTTCCTAAACGTTGCATTTTTTTCTGCCATAATTTCTTCAGTTCTAACATTATTTACATATGATCCATAATATATTTCGTGCTTAGTACGCAACATACAACAAAACTTTCACCAACAACATTTGAAATAGTTATCTATTAGACCAAAAAATTATCAGTCGCGATGGCCGAGTGGTTAAGGCGTTTGACTAGAAATCAAATGGGGTCTCCCCGCGCAGGTTCGAATCCTGCTCGCGACGCTTAACTTTTTTTGCTTTCATTTTTTACTTTATTCCAGTTTTAAGGAAACCATTTATTTGATTGACGGCAGTCTATTGTCCGATTTTGGTGTCGCTACTGTTGTCTCGATGAGCGCGTAGCAATAAAACCAGTAGTAACAGTTTTTACTCTACCTACCAGGCTGTACGGAAAATCTATGAATGGCAGTGGTTCTCGCTTCTTCGGTGTTTCTAGCTTCCGTTGTTGATTCCGTTACCATTGACGACGAACTGGGATCCATCGTGGTCGACCTCGTTGTGACACTTGAACCCCTGGGGGTGGTGGTAGTATTAAGAAGAAAGATTGTTGTAGTGCCAGGCGCGTTTTTGATGAAAGCTTCTGACGCGTCGCCAGGGTAACCATTTTGTTTGGAGTCTTGCATGACGTAGAGGGCACCCATGGCGCCAATACTTAAAATATAGGAAGAATAAAGAATGATATCATGAACAAGGTAGAGAAGGATTGTTATAGGGGTAGGGTTCTTATATAGGAAGAATAAAGAATAATGTCATGAACAAGGTAGAGAAGGATTGATATAGGGGTAGGGTTCTCATGTTTGAATGTCGTTCTAGTGAAAACATTCTTGTCACCGAAAATGCGCGCGTTGCAGTTCTCATGTTGCCGTCGCCTTTTTGGATATTTTCATAATAACAATCATCGTTATTATCATCATCAACATAGTGAAACATCTTATCATATTCCCCATCATCACAATCATCACCACCATCATCATCACCATCATCAACATCTTCATCATCACCTTTACCATCCTCATCATCATCACCGTCATCGTAACCATAATTATCATCATCATTACCACCATCACTATCATCACAATCATCAACACCATCATCAACATCTTCATCATTATCATCATCACCATCATCATCATTAACATCATCATCATTATCACCATCACCATCATTATCACCATCACCATCATCATCATTAACATCATCATCATCACCTTTACCATCCTCATCATCATCACCACCATCATCATCATTATCACCATCATTATCAACATCATCATCAACATCATCATCAACATCATCAGCCTCATCGTAACCATAATCATAATCATCATGATCATTATCACCATCGTCATCGCCATCATCATTATGAACCATTATCATCATCATCACCATCGGTTCATAGCATCATCATCATCATAATCACCAACATATCTTGAAAGCTTCATCAAACAATCAAAAACGAAAATCCCGTAATACCTCAGACACATGACAAGGATAAGAACAATGATGAGGAAATGCATGAAACGAGACGTGCACCATCCCTGCTCCTCGAGAACCACTTCCTGTAACAACCAGTAAAAAGAAAAAAATAATTAATGAACTGCATAAAAAAAGCATGAAACTACCTCGTTGAGTTATATATTGGCAATCTTTTAATACATGCTAAGCTTAGATAATTATATGTCAGTCGCGATGGCCGAGCGGTTAAGGCGTTTGACTAGAAATCAAATGGGGTCTTCCCGCGCAGGTTCGAATCCTGCTCGCGACGATTAACTTTTCATACTTTATAAATTTTAAGTTTTATTTTTACAGCCTAAAGTGCTATAAGCCCTAACTTAATATTTTCCGTTTCGATTCYACATAAAAGGAATAGTTGAATGGTAAAATCTTTTATGCATCTTGGAGATATCAAGGTTTATTCTTCTGATTTGTTAATGAGTGTGATGTCATAGGAGGCATTTGAAAATTGAAACACTTCGCTTACTATGCGAAAATATATTTGCAATAACCTTTCTATAAACGCTGAGTAAGACAATGATGTTTTATGCAGGATGTTTTACTGCCCCAGAAAAGTTTTGTATATTAAATAATGCCTCCTATGACATCGTCATTCCCTTAAAGACTATTCCTTTTTTTCTGGTAACGTTTCCTCTTTTACATTTCTCGGTAAAGAAAGAAATAACACTCAAGGGAATGACATGTGGTCTGAGATGGGAAACATTACTGATGAAGAAAGAAATGATACT